TCTGGCCCAATATTTGCTTTTCTGAGTCCAATTTATTTTGCTCAAATGATAGAAGCTTCTGCTCTACCTCCACCCTTCTTTGTAAATGACATAATTTCTTTTTTTCTCATGGCTAAATAACACTCAATTGAATATATCACTTTTTTTTTAATCCGTACATTTGGTGGTATTCTAGGTTGATTCCGTACCCCTGTGCCTGATATATTTACTGGCCGTTTTTACTGCTTTAGATTTTTACTTCTTATTAGTTCATTTGTACATTTGTTGATCAGGATATTTACTTTTTTAGTGTTAAAGATTTTTGGATTCTTTATATATATTCTGGATATGAATCTTATCAGAATAGCTGGCAAATTTCAGCCTATCCTGGGCAATATAGCAAGGCTCTTGTCTCAGAATTTTAAAAGGGGGGCTGGGGAGATAGCTCTGTTGAATCAAGAGCAAGGGCCTGAGTTGAGTCCCTGGCTCTGCAAAAAAGAAAGAAAGAAAGAAAATCAAAGGGCTGGGGATATATGTAGCTCAGCGCAAAATGCAAAGGCCCTAGTTCAGTTGTCCAGTGCTACATTCCCCCAAAATTCACTTATATGTAATTAATAATTTTTAAATACATAATTTAGTGGTTTGGGGTCACTTATAGTCATCACTAGTTTTACATCATTTTCATTGCTACAAAGAGAAATTTTATATCCTTTCCCCTCTACTCTCTCTCCTGAGCAACCACTAGTCTATCTCTATAAATTGTTCTGTTCTGGGCGTTTCATATAAATGTGTCCTTTCAAGATACAGTATTCTGTGATTGGACTCTTATCATATCTTCAGGGTTCACCCAAGCTACAGCAGATATCAGTAATTTCTTTTTATGGACAAATATTTCATTGTGTAATTAATTTTTTTTTTTTTTTTTTGCGGAACCAGGGATTGAACTCAGGCCCTTATGTTTGCCAGGCAAGCGCTTATTCTACTGAGCCATCTCCCCGGCCCCTGTGTAATGAAATATTTACTCATATTTCCTTACAATATTCTCCCAATATTCTAAATAAGTCTTATTTGGGATTTTTGAACATTTTTCCCCCCTGGTACCAGGGATTGAACTCAGGACCCTGTGCTTGCCAGGCAAGTGCTTATTCTACTGAGCTATCTCCCCAGGCCCTAGAATTTTTGAGATAAGGTCTCAGTTTGTAGTTTAAACTGGCCTTGAGCTCACTGTAGATCAGGCTGGCCATGAATTTATTTTGTAGCCCAGGATGGCCTGGATCTCGCAGCAGTCATTCTGCCTCAGCCTCCCAAGTGCTAGGTTTATAGGTATGCCCCACCATGCCCAGTGAGTCACATTTTATTAATAGCTCTTGGTTATTTCAATTTTTTTTTAATTTTGAATAATACCATAGTCTCTCTTCTTCTTCTTCTTCTTCTTCTTCTTCTTCTTCTTCTTCTTCTTCTTCTTCTTCTTCTCCCTCTCTCTCTCTCTCTCTCTCTCTCTCTCTCTCTCTCTCTCTCTCTCTCTCCTGTTTAGTACAGGATATCACTATGTAGATCAGACTCCCAATCTCTAGGATTACTGGCGTACCACCACGCCCACTCTCAGTCGCCATCTCAGCGCGCCCTGAGGGTAGAGCCAGCATGGTGTGCCAGGGATTGAACCCCTTCTGTTGCAGTCTGCCTAAGCAGGCACTTTAGTCTACTGAGCTATCTGACAGACTTGCCATAGTCATTTTGCAGAAGTATTTGTGTGCACATGTGATTTTATTTTGCTTGGTTATATAAATATACATAGAATCACTATATCTTATGGTGAACACTGTATGTAATCATTTGAGGTACTGCTAGAAAGCACTTATACCAGTTTACATTCTCACCAGCCTTCTTACTTCTCCACATCCTTGTCAAAGGCTTTTTCTGTTTGTTTTCTTTTTTTTTTCTTAATTTTATTTATTTATGTGTGTGTGTGTGCGCACGCGCGTGTGTGTGGCCAGCTCAGCCCACCAGGGGGCGGGGCGGGCTGGCGTTAGGTGCTGGGGGATTGAACTGCGGTCCCTATGCTTTAGCTTAGCTTGTTCTAAGTAGGTGCTTTAGACTACTGAGCCATCTCACCAGCCCGTCTTTTTGTTTGTTTGCTTGTCAATGCTTGTTACCTTTTTTTTTTTTTCCTTCCTTTCTTTAGAGTCTCAATTTGGAACTTAGGTTTTGAACTCTCAGGAATCCTCTTGCCTCAGCCTCTAGAGTGCTATTGTGGGCATGTGCCATGCCTGGCTTTTTTTATTTTAGTCATGAATACCCTGCTGAATATGGAGTAGTATCTCATGGGTTTGATTTATATATCCACGCAATCAGACATCTTTTGTGTATTTATTGCCTATTTATATTTCTTCTTGGGAGAAATTAGATTATTTTTCTAATTTTTAAAATTTCATTGTCTGTGAACTGAAAGAGGTCTTTATATATTGTGGATGCCAGTTTATCTGGCAGATATTTTTTCCCATTCTGTAAATTGTTTTTTCGCTTTCTTGATGTTGTACATCTTTGGAGCATGAAAGTTCTTAATTTCCTAAAGTCCAGTCTATTTATTTATTCATTCACTTTATCTCTTTGTTGCTGTTATGTCCTGGTTTTGGTGTCGTATATAAGAATTCTCTGTCAAGCGGAAGGTCATTAGGATTTGGCACCACGCTCTCTTCTGTAATAGCTTTATATCATTGAGTTTTTCATTTGGTTAGGTCTTGGTCACTCTGACTGAGTGTTTCCGTGCCGTAGGATGTGAAGGTCAGCTGTGTTCCTCGGCGTTCTGGTTCTTGTTTCCCCAGCGCCGTTTTCTAGAAGGACAACCCTTTTTCTATTGCTGGTCTTGGCAGCCTTGAAAAGCAGATGCTTGTAGATAAATAGGTGAATAGCTTATTATTGTATTTTATTTTTATTGAAAAATAAATATGAATGAGACAGATTCACAGCTGATTAATAGGACAGTTTTGATAATCAGTACACTGTGCATTGTTTTCTTCTTAGTGGTTATCCATAGTACGGGAAGCAGACGGGATGTTCTGTCCAGACACTGTTAGTACAGCTCTTTCTTCTCATTGAATTAAGCGAAAGTAGCTGTAAATTTATCCTAAGCCTTTTTTTGAGGCAGAGATTGGGAATTGAACTCATGGCCTTCTCAATCCCCAGTAAACCCCCTTCCCTTTTTTGAAACAGATTCTCCATAAGTCATGAAGTTGCCTAGTCTGGGATCAGACTTGGAAGCCTTCTCTATCAGGCTGCCAGAATACTGAAATTACAGGTGTGCAAATCATTCCTAGTTTAGATTTGTATTTTTAAATAGCAAAATTGTAATTTAGCAAGGCATGGTGGCACACACCTGTAATCCCAGCATTTGGGAGGCTGAGGCAGGTGGATCACTGAGTTAGAGCAAGGCTAGCCTAGCTACAAAGTGGAGTGCTGATGCTTTAACACAAAATGAATTCAAGGCCAGTCTGAGCTACATAGTAAGACCCTGTCTCAAATAAACAAACAAATGATAATTTAGCTTTCTTAACTGTTTGGATTGCTTTTTCACAAATAATTCTGTTGTCACCTGGATTGTGTGTTTTCTTTTTTTTTTTTTTTTTTAAACCAGCAATCAAACTCAGGACCTTGAACTTGTCAGGCAGGTACTATGCTGCTGTGCTATAGCCCAGGCCCTAAATAATTTTGTTGTGAAGGAAGATTATATTTATTTTTAAATAGGCCTATAAGGCCTTTTTATATAATTTTAATAGTATATCAAGTATCAACTAGAAATTCAACCTGGAAATACAGTTAGCATATAAAACATCTGAGTTAGAGCAAGACTAGCCTAGCTACAAAATGGAGTACTGATACTCCATTTTGAATATTACTTAGAAAGCCACTTTCTTTCATTGACAGTAACATTTTGGTTTCTCTTATGTTAATGTTTAAGTACCAGGTGCTATACTGTTGTAAGACTTTTTGAAAATTTTTTTTTTATTTTTTTATTTTAACATTTAGTGTGTGTGTGTGTGTGTGTGTGTGTGTGTGGCCAGCTCAGCCCACCAGGGGGCGGGGCTGGCTGGCATGTGGTGCTGGGGGATTGAACCGCGGTCCCTGTGCTTTGCGAAGCTTGTTCCAAGTAGGTGCTTTAGACCATTGAGCCATCTCTCCAGCCCCTGTTGTAAGACTTTTTGAAAAGACAAAGATGATGTACTCTTTCTCAAATTTCTGATGGTTTATAAGATACTGGGGACATTGAGAGGGAATAAAATGACATGGCAATATCCATGTGGATTTTTGTGGGTGCTTGTGATTTGTTTTTTTTTTTTTTTTTTTTGAGGGATGGTCCATAGAGGTGGTATCATATTTGTATGTGCATGCGTGTGTGTGTGTTATGAGATTATTTTTACCTAGTGTAGTTTTTAGTATTGTGTTTTTAAAAAATCATTTTAAGTCCAAAATTCTTAAATTGAAATTATTCTCCAGGCCTCCAAATTAAGTTAGGAGAGGCTAGTGGGTAGCTCAGTGGCCAGAGTGCCTAGTTTGGCAAGCGCAGGGACCAGAGTTCGATACCAGTCCCACATGTCATGCCAGTCCCGCCTCCAGGACACACTGAGCCAGTGACCAAGTCCTGCTGTGGTGAGGCACACCTGTAATCCCAGCGCTGGGGAGGCTGAAAAGAGGAAGATCACCATGAGTCTGATCTGCGTGGTGAGATCTGTACCAAATAAATAAATAAATAAATATAATTAGGAGTACTGTGTATGTTGCTGGAAAGAAATGAGTGATCAAGACTATTGAGTAACTTAATGCTTTTTGTAAAGCACTTTGTAAGTGGATTTTGTGAACCTCTGGTAAAGTCCAATATTGACCACGAAATTGCCATCACTTATTAAGCAATGCCAGCACATTCTTTCATTATTGGAAGCACCTTCATGTAGTTGAAAGCATTTTCCACTGATAAACTATTATCTCTTAAAATCACTTTGTATAAATTTATGTTCCTTTTTTTTTAGGAGTCTCAGCAATCCAGTTTTGGTCCTGGAGAACAAAGTGAGTATTTTCCTTTAAATTTTCAAATTAAGGCCAGTGAGATAGCTGTCACCTACTTAGGCAAGTGCAGGGACCAGGATTTGATCCCCATACCACATGCTAAGGTGGCACATGCCTGTAATCCCAGCGCTGTGAGGAGGCTGAAAACAGGAGGATCACTACGAGTCTGAACTATGTAGTGAGACGCTGTACCAAATACATTAAGAAAATGAAATAAATAAAATGAGTGTTCAAATTAATGTATTAATTGAGTATGTGGGGTACAATGTACATTACTTTAGTAATTCTTTTCCATGTCTTATTGTAATTACATGAGTTAAGTAGTAATTGCTTCTTTTAAAAATAGGAATTATAGGTCATAAGAGATCAAAGTGAACTTTTTATTTGAACTAATAGTTGAAAGTTTATAAATTCAACTTGATTGGCACCTTATCAACTCGGGAACCATACTTCTGTCTTTCTACTTCCTTGAAAATAATTTGGTTCTGTTATGGTCAAACTGTAGGCAAGAACAGGTTATTTTAGCTAAGCATGACTTTTTCCTATAGCTATATATTCTTTGTCCTTCTGTGTCTTATGATCTGGGTAGAAAATCTGCAGTCTTCTATGATTCTACTCTCACTTCAGTTCTTGACCTTCCTAGAAGAACTGGAAATTTATATATGATCCCAGGAGATGTGTAAGTTAGTGGTACTGAGATCAAAAACCATCACAAATGTCTGAGCTTTACCCTAAAGCTCTATAACAGAAGTTATTTTTGCCAAAAGATCTGACTTCTTAAATAGCTTAGATTTATACTGTTTTGAAGGTATTTTGAGAGATGAAAATAAGACTTTCTTTGATCCTTTGCTAGTTATAGTTAGTAATCTTAATGCAAATATATGAAGCTACTGTATATTACCTAATGTTAAACTTTCTATATCTGTATAACTATTTTAGTTCTACTTTGTAGCTGTAGTTAAAGGAAAAAGGGTCCTGACATTGTTGATGTTACAAAAAATTTTCCCCTTTTAAGAATGTCTTATCTGGTTGGGCATGGTAGTGGACACCTATAATCCCAGCGCTATAGAGGCCAAGGCAGGAGGATCTCTGTAAAGGCCAGCCTGAGCTATATAGTGAATTCAAAGCCATTCTGAACTACATAGCAAGACCTTGGCTTGCAAAAAATGTCTCATCTCTGCTTCTAGCCCATCTCATTCTCTCCTCAAAACTGTCTATGCCAAAGAGGATCATTAGCTATCTCTACTCGTTATCTTTTTTTTTAATTTGCTCTCTTTTAAAATTGAATTACTGGGCCGGGAGATAGCTCAGTAGAATAAGCACTTGCCTGGCAAGCACAGGGGCCTGAGTTCAATCCCTGGTTCTGGGAAAAAAAAAAAAAAAATTTACTGTTAGTATAAAGTTCTTTTCATTGTAATACTAAAATTGTGTTCTGTAAAAGAATCAATTTAGGGGCTGGAGAGATGGCTCAGTGGTCTAAAGCACCTACTTGGAACAAGCTTGGCAAAGCACAGGGACCACGGTTCAATCCCCCAGC